AGAGTATTTTCCTTTTATTTTTATGATTTTTCTACACAAAGACATGGATTTTCTAACTTATGTGAATTAAATAAATAACATAAATCTCAATTTTCTACTTAATCCAGTCAGCCTCCACACAATCCTCGTATGCGCCAAAGCCTCACGCGATGCATCCTGATTCGCTGCGCTTTCCACCTCAACCGCCACGCATCCCGCCTTTATCACTCCATTTCTTCGTTCGATGCGATCTGATCCATCCATACAATACAGACTCAATCGGATGGCTCCTAGTAATTGTCCTCAATGGCCTTAAATCGAGAACCGCTAATTTTCTAAACCTATTTTCTCCCTCGATTCTCAACGAAATAACATAGGGTTTGTTTATAAAGCTTCATCTACTTAAGACAAACCTATCTATATTGTTATTCAAGTATAAAATACAAGTTTGCTTCACAATTGACCAAACTAAGCTCGGTTTCAAGGAAAATGGTCCATACCTTGGTCCAAGAGGTGTAGCCTCAATTGGATTTGTTCCTGACCTTTGTTGTGAGCTGGTGAACCTCCTCTAAGTGTCAATTTGAGCTGAGATTTAGTCCAAGTATGAATTCAATCAGAGGGTAATTCAGGCTTTTTCTAAGGCTACGTTAGAGTGCTCAAAATGATGGGGCTTTGGTTGGGGAAGTCATCTTTAGCTTTGGTGAAGCTTATGGGACAATCAATTTGGAGTTTGGATGCACTTAGTGGTATGGCTGTGAAAACCCCTAAATTTTAATGATGAATTTAGGGTTCTACAGTGGGGATGGAAGGTTGAGAATGGTTGGGTTAAGCTTCTCTAGGTTGCTAAAGGGTATGGTGAAAATTTGGCAGAGTTTTGTTAAGGTTTAAGTATCCTTTTTTTTTCGGCTGTGGGGGTGGTCTTATTTGTAGAGGAGGGTGTGGTGGCTATCAAGGCCAGGTGTGGTGGCAAGGGAGATGCTTAAGTGGAGGGAAGAAGTTCCCAAGTGTCCAATGGGGCTTAGATAGCTCAGATGGGTTAAATTTTGAGTTTTCCCCAAATAGGGCTTCTCGACCATGGTGTTTTCCAGTGGTTGTGATGGGTGCCTGGCCAGGGTCATGTCACCTTTAAGTTCAGATGAGTCAGGGGTGCTGTGAGGTCAAGTCAATTTGGCTCAATGGTGACCCAATGGTGAAAATCCATGGGAGAATTGAGGTTTGGTTAAATTGCCTAGAATTGGGTTTAACCCCTTGGTCAGGTGGTTAGGGCTGATCCTAAAACCCTCAAGCAGGTTTGATTAAAGTTAAATGACTAGCTTGAGCATTAGGTGGGGTGTAAATGTTTCATGAAGGAGGAAAGTCTAAGTGATGGGGATAAGAGGGAGTGGTCACCTCCACTTGCCAAATTTGGTAAAAATTGATTTTATGCTGTCCTTGGAAGGCTCCATGAGACATGTCATGCCATGTACATGGAAAATTTTCATGCAAATGGAATTTTGGACTTTCATAAATTTTTGGAAAAGTATACCATGATGCCTAATTTGGATAGAGTTTGATGTATGTGTATGGTATGCTCCATATGATGCCATGATGAAATATTCTCAACGCCCTAAGATGATAGGGAAGGAAATTTTGCCATGTGCGCTCATGTTGGGCCTTTGAAAATGCGCATGGGCATGGGCTTTTAACATGCATGATGGTTTTAATTTTAAAATTAGTCATGAATTAGTCATGGGATAATAAAATTGAATTTTAATTGGTTGAGATTGAATTTAGATATATTGAATTTGATGTGAATTTGAAATTGGAGAATTGAATTGATCATGAAGCTCAACTTGGGGATTTTTGGACTTTGGGTTAATTTGAGGCAATGTGGTTTTAATTTCAATTGCCTAATTTGAGCTCATTTTGTAAACCTAATCAATTCATTTGACCCCAAGTTTCCCCAATTTCAAGTCTAAATTTAATTTACTTCAGAATCAATTAAGCTGGGTTTGGAATCAATTTAATTTCAAACCCATCTTAATATAAACCCTATTTAGTCCTTCATATTAAATAGGGAAACATGTCGGCTTATAATAAAAAATGGTTTCGCATACATAACAGATGTCAGACAATCATTAGTTTATTTAATCGATTATCAGTAAGTGGTGTGTTTATCCTTCGGGACAAATACATTAATTGAGGTATTAGAATCATTTATCTAAACTACCGGGGATATGAGATCGATCTGGTCTTGTATTTTTCAAAATCTAAAATACTATTTTTCCAAATTATATATATTAAATTAAATTAAAACGGGTGTTGAGATATCCATCTTAACAGCCTACATATTATCACAAAAAATCTATTAAAAATAAAAGTTTAAATTTCTAAATTCTTCAAAAATACATTATATTTAGCATTTTCTACATTAAAAATTTTTAACAAAAAGTTTTTCTTCATTACTTAGAATTTTAATTAAATTTTCTTACTCGTTTCTATAATAAAATTTTACTTCACTAATATAACTTCATATACATCATCAATTTTCTTTTGAAATCAAATTCACTTATAGCACATTTGAGAACAAATAAAATTCAAGTTTTGAAAATATTTTTCATCCCCCCTGTTTCCGTTCATTTTTCTCTTTTTAATTTTAAAAAGAAGGAGTCGTCAGCTTGTCGATCATCGTATAATTCCCTCATTCGAATAAGTCTCCCTCTCGAACCATATAAATGATTTGAAGAGGAGAGGAATCGAATAAAAAGGGACATACGACAAAGTGACAAACAAGAGAAAAAGTAAAACGTGGAGAGTCTACGTACGATAATCCTCGCAAGCATAGGTTAAGAATATCCGCCCAAACAAGATCGGGCGGAGGCACCTTAAACCAATATCCGCGAAAGAAGTATCTACATAGGCTACCCATAACCAGAGAGTCAGGTGTATGTACCTGTTCCGGGGTCAAGAGCACTCCCAGAGGAACGTGTTCCTTCGGTTAATTACATCTTGAGGGATATCTAAAAATACTTTCGATAAAAGGAGTTTTGCTTATATTATCATAGACCTGAGGTGTAAGCAATCAAAAGAAAGTTATTCCACGTGGGAACAGTCTCGATGCTTCAAAGCTCACGCTGAGCCATTAGACAAAATATGAGTCTCTCACATCTCAAATGGATAGCGGCTCATCGGCACACAAGGCCCACGGAATAACCTAAATCATCTTGACAGGATATCCCAACGCGTCAAACCATGTCTGGGTCCTAAGGGCATAGCACAAAAGCGACATGGCTCAAAGGGGCTCAACAAAAAAAAGAAGGTAGAGTGATCCTAAAAGGTAGAGGTAACTGAGTCGGGGTACCACGAGAATTTCAATACGAGTGTCAGTTTGGCCACTGCTGATGTTTTGTTTGAGATCATGCTCCACAACATACTTTAGAGCATCTTTTGTGATTTTTGCTGTCTTTGTGTGTGTAAACGATCTGCGTCAAGCGAGAAACATCTTTGGCTTGAGCTTGAACTTGATTAGTTAACCAAGTTCGAGCTTTTTCTTGAGCTTAGTTCTAGGAGTGAAAGTCAGCTCGCCAGCCACTGGAGCTTGTTTATTATGAAAGAGAAAAAATACTATTAATTCAAGCTAGTGTTATAATAAAATGATAAATAGAACGAGTAATTAAGGGATAAATAATAAAATAAATACTTGATATAAAATATAAAGTATTATTTTTTTGATATTCTTAATAATTCAAAGATCAAGTCTTGAATTTTAATCTATTTTGCATGGATACAGACACAGCGATGCAATCTAACATTAACACGAGACATGTTTATTATTACAAATATAAGATGTAGTCACATGTCAGACATACCATCATAATAAAAATTATTAATAAAACATTAAAATAAAATAAACTAAATATTAAGGATAATACAAAAGAGGAAATAATAAATTTAATTGCATTAACTTTCAAAATTGTTTAGTTTATAATACACACAAAATAAGCATATACTATCTTATACTACATCAAGATTTAAGTTGTCTTAATTAACTATGTATTTAAAAAAATGATCAATGGCTTTCTTGGTATCTATTTTTTTTATTTACATATCTAACACCTAAATTTTGATTTTTATATTTATGCCACCCAAATCTTCATATCACATCTAATATACCACTATTTTTACTTTTAAAAAGTGAAATACAATGTGAGGTTTTAGAAAAATATTGAAATTGAAATTTAGGTGTTAGATATATAAAGCCATAAAAATTGAGTTTATGTATGTAAATCTTCCTTAAAATTTACGTCAAAATATTTTTTAAAATTTTAATTTTAAAAGTCTCTTTTAAGAAATTCTTAATTTATTAATATAAAACACACGTATTATTATTAGTTAAATATTGTTTAAATCGGACATTTTTATGCCATGTTGGCGCTTGTGTTGGTGTTCGTGTTCGATATGCGTCCGACACGTCATGACTCTCTAATTTGAAGTATTTGTGCATTGTACGTTTTAATATATTTTGATATATTTTATATTTAAGTGTTTTTAAAATTAGTTGGCTCACGAGTTAACTAGTTGAGTTGGGGCTGATTTAAACTTGGCTGGTCATTGAGCTCAATTTTGAGTCATTTATCGAGCCGAGCTCTTGTCAGCTCAGGAGTTGACTTCAATTTTACTCATAGTTTGTGATATCGTGGCAAGCATTTGATAGAATACATATATAGGTTTCAATGCATAAATGTCAAAGTAGTCACTGTTTTTTTTTCAATTTCTTTTTGCCGTTCTTCTTTTGTTATCATGTTCACCTTTTGGTTCTTTATAGTTTTTAAATATGTGGCGGGGTCCTTTACTTCATTCATGCTTGGTTTGCTTCGATGCTGCTTGCAATTCTTCCATTAATCACACTCGATGGCTTGCTTGAATAGTATTGTTTGGTTACTTGATTTATGCGCCTAAAGTTGGCAATATGTGTTGAGCATTTTTTTTCTGTATCTCTGGATCCATTTAACACTGAAAATTTCTTTTTGCTCGTGTATTAGATCAATCGCATAATTCTTTTGGCCAGCCATTAGCATCGCAAGGTGGTGTGAACACACCATCATCTTTTGCCTCTTATGGTTATGCTGGGTCAAACAAGAAAATTGATATTCCTAATGGACGGGTATTAATCTTTCTAAAAATCCCTTCTCCTTCTATTTCCATTTTTTGAGTGGTTGTCTGGTAACAGTTTTACGAAATCCTCTAAATCCGATTCCGATTTACTAAATTATTCCAACATTAGGATTTAGTAAATCAGGGATTTAAAATGAAATTGAGAGGAATTGAGAAGAAATTGGATTGACTAGATTCAGGATTTAAATTTTCTTATTTTTTCTGACTTAAATCTGTAATGAGACAACCCCTTAGAGTGTTGTGTCAGTTTCGGGAATGATCCTCTTTCATAATTTTGGACAGGTTGGTGTCATTATTGGTAAAAGTGGAGAGACAATCAAATATCTTCAGGTGCAATCTGGAGCTAGAATTCAAGTAACTAGAGATATGGATGCTGATCCTCATTCACAGAGTAGAACTGTAGAACTTATTGGTACTTCTGACCAAATTAGCAAGGCTGAGCAGTTGATCAATGAAGTGCTTGCTGAGGTAGGGGTTGTTAAATGAAAAGGTTTTCTAATTTGTTGGGCTAATTTACGGGCATTTACATGCATATCACACAATTCTTATGCATTTGCATACCTAACACTTAAACATTCATATTTACATGCATACCACTCAAGTTACTAGCATCACTTCAAAAAATACCACCCTCACTACATTTTTAAATGTGAAATGCACAATTTTCATGCATAGGTTTATGATACAATGGTGTTATAAGTGTAAATGTCATACTTTGTGTGTTAGTTATGTAAATACATAAGAATTGTGTGATATGTATGTAATTTCCATTCACTTTAATGCATTATCTATAAATTGTAAAGGCTGAAGCTGGTGGCTCTGGCATTATTTCTGCGCGGAAGTTTACTATCACAACTACTGGTGCTGAGCATTTTTCTATGAAAGTTCCAAACAATAAGGTTGAAAACTATAGTAATTACTGTTGTTGAATGCCCCCTTTTCTTGTTATTATGCTCATATCATCTTCATTCATCATGATATGAAATTTTTTAAATTTCCAGGTTGGTCTGATTATCGGCAAAGGTGGTGAGACTATCAGAAACATGCAAACTACTTCAGGGGCACGCATCCAGGTTAGAACTCTTATTCTCTACGATATATGGTTGCTTTCACTTTAATGCTTTTTATTATGCTCATTATGCCTAGATCTAGTTTAACTTTCATTTGATCAATGTATTTTAATTATTTTTGTCACAAACAGAGCGTGAACTTGTGTTTTTGTTTTTAAGTTTTTGTTCCTATTGTTCAAATTAAATTTTATTTAATTTGTGCTCCTAGTTGTGGAATTTTTTCTTTCCATGTTTGATTTTATTTTCTTGTCTAGGCATAATTTTAATTTAGTTAAGACATGTTCATGTTTAGCATGCTACAAAAAAGCATAGAGCTTGTTTGGAATCAATTTTTTTTTTTTCATTTATTTTTTCTTTAAATCTTTGTTTAGTATTTTCTTTTTTTTTTTCTGAAAACAAATTAACATGTTTTTGAAAGTACTAAAAAAAAACTTTTAGGTATTTTTAGTGTTTTTAAAAACAACCGTATCTTAATTAATATGCTAAACATTAAATGAAATTAAAAAAAATAAAAATAAAATAAAATAAAATAAGAAAAAATAGAAGGAGAAGAAGAAGAAGAAGAAGAAGAAAAAGAAGAAATAAAAGAAGAAGAAGAAAAATTAGGAGAAGAAGAATAAGAAGAAGAAGAAGAGGATGTTTTGCCGGCGGCTAGGGAGGGGGGGGGGTGGGTGGGG